GCCACTTAACCTACTTCTCATCAACTGATACTTACACAATCTAATCAAATTTCACAAGCAGTTACACATAGGCCTGTGGAGACAGAATGAAATTCTGACTTCTGTGCAATCAGTGCCTATTTTTCTCTGATATCCGGTGCTTCTCGACTGCCTTGCTTTGTTGTTGTTACTGTGTTTTCATGTATCAGTGCCTTAACATATCATGCAAAGCATTTTGGCAGACCTTAGCCTGAAATTCTATATTCAAACAATCCAACTAAATAAATAAACTGATGCATATTTTATGACACTGATAATAATCAGAATAATTATTTGCTTATTTAGTCCTGCATAATCTAATTTTGTGATCTGGACTTGCTCCTGGTGCCACCCTCCATTCTTCCACCTACATATCTCTAGTCTGTCTTCCCCACCTTGTTGCTCTCCAACATTTCTAGTCTACAACTCCCAGCATTACTGGCAATTGCCTATGCTGGCTGGAATGATGGGAGTCAAAGTCCCAAGCATCTGGAAAGCGCCATGTGGGTAAAAAGGCTGCTCTCAGGGAACACCATCCTGGTGTGACTATAGTCCCAGAACTGGTGCCAGCAGGTTGGGAAGACATGAGAAAGTTCCGCCTTAAAATGGAGTCCCAGGCAGCTGCAGGAGGAAACCACCTCTCTGTGTGTTTGCTAGGATTGCTCTGTGCAGAGCTCTGCTTTGTCTCCTGCAGGTGCAGCTGCCCTTGTTGGTGCTGCAGGGGCTGCCGCTGCTGTTGTGGCTGCTGCCAGCTCATAGCCCAAGCGGTCGCCCTGACTGCCTGGCTCGCTGTGTCAGAATTCAGCACTTCTTGCCCCTGCCTCATCCAGGATTCAGGATGCTCTCCCTGTAGAGAGACTTGCATTTGCGAGAAGTATTCCTACGTAGAATCATGGCATAGTAGGGTCAGGAGGGGCCAAGAAGCCCATCGGGTCCAACCCCATGCTGGTGCAGGATGCTGGCTGCACCGTCCCACTTGGATGGCCGTCTCGCTTCTTCTTGTGCCAGCATTAGAAGCATGTTAAAGCACCAGTTGGTGGTAAATGCATTATGAAATCTACAGACAGGGTGTTTTTTCCTGTTACTGTGAGTGATAAACAGCTGTGATGTACTGCAGCTGCTGAAGAATGTGAATCACTGTCAAAGATTAAACCGAGATCTCACATTTAGTAGGATCAGAAGGGATTACAAGCATTTGGAAGCCGGTATTAGGCCATAATTGGGTAAATGGAAATACAGCTTTCTTACGTGAACATTATAACATTAAAATGTTTGGAATATACAAGCAAAATCTATCTTTGATTTATTTTCTCCTAGTTTAACTACAGCAGAGCTGTAGGGTTCTCAGTTCCTTGAAGTATTTATTCACGGCCAGTTCTTGTGCCGCTTTACAATTCGTTGTTTTTCTTTCAGTAGCAGCAACTTGTATGCTGCTCTTGCTGTACTTCACATCTCCATTTTTTGTTTTGTTTTTGGTACCTCTCTGTCTACTCTCTCTTCCCTTCTGACCACTGTTCAAAGATCCCTCCCATTCTCCATTGCTCTCCTGGGATCAGCTCACCCAATCATGTTATCATGACAATTGAGAACTTATTTGTAAGCATGTCCAGAGATTTCAGATGAAATATATTTCAGTGATGAAGTAAAGGGAGGTTTAGCATCTAAGAAGCTGTTGTATGTCATAGCCCTAAGAGAGTTTAATGGTAAGATTTTCCAGAACTCTTAGTGCTAATCCAAATGCTTCAACATGAGATGGAGCTGTCCCTCCACCGAACTCCTAAAGGAGTTCTTTCTAAACAGAAATCTAAGGAAGGCACTATGGAGTCAACAAAAATCTTTCAGCTGCATGACTAGTTAATGTACAATGGAGTGTTTAGGTGCCTGTTCACCTGGAAAACAGCAAGACCTTCTACTTCAGTGGTATGATGAGAAGTTCTCTCCAGCACAGAACTGTGCCATATTCATAGAATAGGAATTTAGAAATAGCCCAGTTGTCTGCTCAGTATACAATGCACAATGCATGAATCAAGGACAGCTTCCGTCACAGATACTTAAAGCAAGTACAGCATCATCCCACCTCTATTTAAATACCCCCGGTGGGGAAGAGAGCCAGCCTGTTCCACTGTCAACAGTTCTTTGCATTAGGAAGTTCTCTTAATCCTCAGCTGAAATCTGTGATTTCTCTGTAATTGCCAGCCATTTGTTTCAAGTTCTGCTCTCCAGAACATTAGGGAATAAAGGCACAATCCTACATCTGTCTGACGAATATTGCAAGTTGTATACAGTTTTCTGTCTAAGCATGCATAGGATGGCACTCTAAGTCTGCTCCCAGGACAAACATACCAAGTTCTGTCAATGAGTCATCACGTGACATGGTGCAAGACCCTCTCTATTTGGGTATCCTCCTTTGGATATGCTTGTTTTTTGCTTTTCTTAAATATGGCCGTCAGTTTTGACCACAAAACTGGATTGGATCCCGATTGGATCCAGACAGAAGCCAAGTTAATACTCTGGTGGAATAGGTTTCCACATGCCTCCTTCCAGCAGCAGCCCTTCCAAGAAATGCTCCATGGTCAGCTGTTGCATGGGATGGGCTGCGGTGGGAAGAGAAGGGCAGATTTCTGAATATGAGACAGAGGGACCTTCTGTGAGTATGTCTCAGGAAGATCCCTTCCTTTTGGGGACAGCAGATGCTGGATTCGCCCCCAAGTGTGCTCTGAACTGCAGAGACTGCAGTGGAACCGGACACGAAGCTTCCATTAATATAGCCTGAGAAAGAATTTCTCATACAAGGTAGATGTCAACAAGGGAGGTGCTTGCAGGCTCCTGAATTATTGCTGCCGTGCGCATCCTGTTTGAAAGCACCCATGGAATGTCCCTGCTTACGCTTAGTGTTTGCCTTCCTTGAAACATATACAGACTGGCAACTTTTTAAATCTGAAAAACTTTTGATACCTGAGTGAGATCCAGAGCAGGCAATTGGATAGGACCATAAAGAAAAGCAGGTATATGAGCAACTCCCACAGCTGTTTCCCATAGCCTGATTCTGGGGTTGGTAGGGAAATCACAGGTCATGCTCCGCAGCAGCTGATCTCAGCAGCTGGCATCGCTAATGCACCTGTGCTGGACACACTTATGAGCTTCTACTGCACAAGTTCTGGCAACCATGCCATTTTGTTTCGTACACCCTAGATCCTGGAAGCTGCTCCCCTGTGCTTTTTTTTTTTTAGAAAGCTGGACCATAAGGAAGGCTGAGTGCCAAAGAATTGAGGCCTTTAAATTGTGGTGCTAGAGAAGTTTCCTGCAAGTCCCTTGGACCACAAGGTGATCAAACCAGTTAGTCCTAGAGGAGATCAACCCTGACTGCTCTTTAGAAGGCCAGATCCTGAAGATGAAACTCAAATGCTTTGGCCACCTAATGAGAAGGAAGGACTCCCTGGAGAAGAGCCTAATGCTGGGAACAATTGACTGCAAAAGAAGAAGGGGACGGCAGAGGATGAGGCGGCTAGATGGAGTCACTGAAGCAGTTGGTGTGAGCTTAAGTGGACTCCGGGGGATGGTGGAGGACAGGAAGGCCTGGAGGAACGTTGTCTATGGGGTCGCGATGGGTCGGACACTACTTCGCAACTAACAACGACGAGCCAAGGTGTAAGAACCTGTTCCCAAAGTAGGAAACATTTAGGGGTGCTGCTAAGTCCTGCAAAGATCTTGCTTGCAATCCTACGGGACAAATGTTTACACGTGCAAAGTCACATATACTCTAACGTTTTTCTGTGTGTGTCCATAAAGCACCCTGCCTCCAAAGGACACCTTTACTTGTAAAAAGGGGCATACGGCCAGGGGTGGGGCAGCTTGATTGCGGGGGTACCTCAGGCAGAAACACCCAAGGGAGAGTGGCAGGAGGTGAACCGCATGAGAGCAAAAAGCCAGCTGATTCAGGGGGATCAGATGCAGCGGGGACGATCAGGGCACCGTACCTGGACAGGAGAATGGTGAGATCTGGGGCTCCAAATGGAAGATTCCGGGCTCCAGCCCTGGTGGGCCAGCTCACGGCACTGCCTCTGGCACCACAGCTGCCCACTAGGGGTAAGCAAAGTTACCGTGTTGTCGAGGATGCGCGCAGCGACCAAGCCGGCGCTCTTGCACGGGAAGAGCGCTGCGGCTGCAACTTGGCCGAAATTGGCTCAGGGAGAGCCCGGAAGGAGCCGGCCTGTTTTCTTCGCCAGCAGCGGCGCTGCAGCGCTCGGCCAGCGGGTGGCGCCAGATTTCGAGGATTCGCGCGGTGCCGTGGGGAACGCGCCCAGACACGCAGCCCGCTTCCACTAGCGCACACACAAAGCGGCTGGGCGAAGCGTGAGCGCGGCTCCCGGTGCTTCGCTGCGACCCCAACCCCGGCGGCGGCGCGGAGGCGGCTGAGGGGCTGGCGTGGGCGCCCACGGCGGCGCAGCCCTCCGGCCGAAGGTGAGTGGGCGCGGATCATCCGTGGCAGGCAAACTTGCGGGCGGGCGTCCTCGCCGCCTCCGCCTGAGCCCCGTTCCGCTCCCGACTGGCGGGGCGGCTGCGAAGGGCTTTTCCGGGCGGGGGAGCAGGAGCGGCTTGCCGGGGGCCCCTGCAGCCCCCCTTCCCCGTCCGCGCGGTGAGGCGCAATCCCGCCGCTGCCCCTCAAACTTTCCCGGGAGCTCCCTTCCCTGCGAGGCGGCTGCCGGGTGTGCAGTTCCCTTTCCCTCGCCGGGCTGCCCTCGACGCCCGGTGCCGCGGGAAGCGCGTGTCGAGGTGGCGCCGGGCTGGAGAGCCCCGAATCCGGGCTGAAGCCAGTCCGACCCTCCCCTTGTCATTAAGCGAGCTCTGCTGGGAGCACTCGTCTGTTCTGGACGGCCTGACGACCCGAGACAGGTCTCCGAGCGCACCTCGGTACCCTGCTCGCCTTAAATCCTGTCTGCTCTTCCTGCTTTCTCCCCCTCCCTCTCCCTCTCCCTTTGCAGATGCCTAGGATATTGGCCGTAGTTGTTTGGTGCTTTCTGCAAGTGGAAGGAAGGCATCTGGAAATCACCACTGGCAGCAGCAACAATGGCAATTTCTTGGACAATGACAAATGGCTGAGCACTGTTTCCCAGTATGACAAAGATAAATATTGGAACAAGTTCAGAGATGTAAGTACTCCTTTATTTTTCTCCCCAGCCGCTTCTTAGGTGTTTTCTCAACCTTATTGGGGTGATGACAGCCACGTCCATGCAAGGGGATGCTGCTTTAGTATGGGAAGGAGCAGGCTCGCCCTGTAATGTCTGCTGTATTTCCATCTTCGTGCCTGTTTGCTTGGGGGTTCGCCTTCTTTGGTCTGCTGATTTCCTCCGGGGAATAACTTCCAGAGAACTTTGTGTGTCTGTTGTGCAAGAGATGAGCGACTGTGAAATGCAACCCACTGAGAACCTCGTGCACATACACAAGCTGTTTACTCACAATACCACAAGGTGGTAAACAGTGAAGCTTGCTGTTATGCGCATGTGGCATAACACAAGGGATGCTGTTGTCTTCGTTCTGCTTCTGAGACACCTTTGCTAGGGTGTCCCTATTTTTCAGACTTGGCATGTTAAGCATTCAGGAATACTTTTGGATATGCTTAAACTCCAGAGGTTGTGCTACAGCTCCTCCGTGTTCAGTATGGTGGGAGAAAAAAAACTCTATTTCTTAAGTAAAACTTTAGGGAAAATTAAGACTTGGAATGGTTTCTCAGTGGAGGAAAACATCCCAGCATCCATAGGAGGCATAATACTATGAATAAGGCTAGATACTTGAGAATCTTAACAGAATCTCTTTGAAATGCCTAGAAATAATACTGTGGTAAGTCATTACAGATCCTGTTGCTTTGTGCAGTTGGTATAACAAAGGCATTGTACCAGGTCGACTGTAGGAAGATGTTTGGAAGACGTGGTCATCATGAAGTACTGTAACGACAAGGGGATACACAGCAATAAGTCTATGCTCCACTTTTCCAGCAGCATGTTTGGCTGTAAGGGAGGTGAGAGGAGCCCTGACTGTTAAAATCAAATGAAATTTACTTGTCTATAATTTTTGCAATCTATACATGACTGATAAGTTGTTTTCTAGTTGAACAGAGTCAGAATTCAATTTCCACTGATACTATTTTTAGTTCACAGAATTCTCTGTCCCATGTCAAGTAGGGGGTCTGGGTGGTTTTGACTGAAGAGGGATTGATCCATGTGATCAGAAGTCAATGGGAATCTTGCTGATAAGCCCACTGGATCTCAAGAGCAGCATTAAGAATTCAGCAGAGCAAAAATGACTGAGTAAAAGAATGCTGTAGCTCAGAACATTGTTGGATGGCCAGGTGGAAGTGAGATTGGCCCTGCTCCCCAGCGTTATTGCTCTGCCGTTTTAACTTTTTGCATCTCTTGTGAGCTCAGAGAAAGCAACTTGGCTATGACTGGACTGAGACTAGACTGAGGAGCCTAGAAAACTGGATTAGATTCACGGGCTTGGTGTTCTGCCACTGCTGTGGATTTTTCCATTTCTTTTATCACATAGATATCCCACCTTTCTTCCATTGTGGAACTCCAGGTGTCTATGTCTACTTCCCAGGTGGCCTTCCATTCAGGCACTGACCACATCCAGACCTGCTTAACTTCAGTAAGGTGGCAGACCCACATGTCTTCAGACCATGCCCATGGGACCATGTAGATTCCAAAGGTCCTTCTTGTAAGTTCAAACATGCAATGAAATATAAACTCTGTAGCTAAATACTGGCACTTAGGGAAACTTTAAAACTTGATTTTGGAGTGTCCTTTGTCCAATATTTAAATAGCTGCAATATTTGCATCTAATTGATATTTGAAGTTCTGGGAAGTTACATAGGCTTTGTGTGCCTTGGTTAGGCTGTGGGCTGCTGACTGTCCTAGACCCTTTTGGTCCTTAAAAGATTTTATAAACAAATGAAACTTCTAATGTCATGAAATTAAACAGGAGCAGCAGTTTGATATTCAGGAATTAGCATGCATGACAAAGGGATAGCTGTGTTTATAGATTCAAATTTGGCAACCATCATTAAGAGCTTAGTAATAAATATGTGCATCCTGCCACACATGGTGGAGAAGATACATAATATTGCAACTAGGAGCCATTCTTCCCACAATCATTGTGATTGCCCATGAGCCTTACAAACGAGTCCACAATAGTTTCTACCCCACCTATCCCCTAAATGCCACATCCCTACCTCCTACATTATTCTCATCTGCCCTTCCCTCCTTGCTTGCCTTGAAACAATTTGTATTGCCAGCGATGAGTAGACAGGTGGAGAGGCTTGATGAAACTTTCTAGTTCCTAGGAACTCTATTTCCAGCGCAATTTTAGCAGACTGAACTGTAATTGTATCTCAGGGTTAGTTGGCATAGCCAAGATTTTGAAGTAGCTATTTTGGAAGTAGAGATAAGGCCTGCATGTGTAAATAGACAAGGGTTTGTAGTAAGTGAGCGCTGATGGTTCTAGACCAATCTGCAGCATTTGGCAGGGCTGGGGAGTGGGTGGGTCCCCATAAGTGGTTAAACTGTAACCCAGAACGTTCGTTGTGATCAACTGCGCCGGCTGAGTCTGATGGTGGTTGCAGTGTCTTAGGTACCACCAGGGGAAGTGCTAAGAAAAGACCTGAGGTCCATAGAACGGGAAACAAAACAAAACAAAACAATCCTTAAACTAATTACATAAGCTCTATAATCTCTCTCTGTGTGTGTGTGTCTTCAGAGAACTGTGTCTCCCAAGGATACTGCTATTTGTACAAAAACAAACAAACAGATTTATGGCCAGGGGAGAGGATGGCATTTGATTTCAGGGGGGAAAACACATGCAAAGGGGACTAAGGGTGTGGCAGCGGATAGTAAAGCAGGCATGGGCAAAAAGCCAGATCATCTGGGAGTCGGATGTTACAGGGATCATAAGGGTCCCTGTACCTTTATTTCAGCAAGTGCCTGTGGATGGCTGTTGGTGGGGCAGAGCCCATCCCAGAGATGCAGGGTTCCAAATAAAAATGCTGGGGCTCCAGCCCAACTGGATCTCCTTGTATTACTATCTCTGGAGGGGGGATTCTTTCCTTCCCCATCCCTGCTGTAGAAAAAAACTATACATTTGGCGACTGGGGAAAACATGTTTATGTATTGGTGTGCTTTAGTGAGCAAAAGTCAGAAAGTCTCTGATTCAGGCCTGGAAAGCTAAGCCACTGGACTGGTTCACATAATCTCCATGGATTAAATAAGCCACAGTGCCTTGTTTAAACCTCGGCATGTGACAGGTGCTATTTGCCTAATCACCTGCCCAGGCATGGGTGGGTGCATTGTCTAGACTTGGGCAGCATGGCTTGATGGAGGGGAAACAACCTTGAATAGCTCAGGGACTGCTGTTGGGCTCCTTGAGGGTGGTTCTTCCCCTCATTACCTGGCTTGACAGACCCAACAATGTGCAGCTGGGTGGGCGACTTGGCAAGTGGCACCTGGCACAGGGAATGCTTTAGGCAAGCTACCCTGACGATGCTACTGTTTTTGTTTAATTATGCTATTGACCTACCTTACAGAATTGTTCTAAATATTAAGTTGATAATGCATGTGAAGAGTGTTAAATACTATCAAGTGCTATACATATATTTATTTTTGGCCTTGACTCCCCGTGCCTGCCATCAGCCTGTGGTGTTTGCTTCCCAATAGAAGCCTGTGCAAGTTACAAACTACTTTTTAGAAGCCATTTTATTTTCAGAAGCAATCTGCCACATGGGAGTGGGCTACTGATTGAGAAGCATGAACCCAAAGTCCCCGTGGCTATACAGAAATAGTTGGATCACAGTATTAACTGTATGTTTCCATATTGTTCTATATGTGGACATTCTTCTATAAGGTTTTGCTGAAAAATAGCAGAACTGCTCTCTTTCCAGTAGGTCTGAGAATTCTTTGGTCACCAAAGTACTTTTGCATTCAACAGAACATTAACATTCTCTTCCTTTGCTCAACGATCGTGATTTTGCTCGATTAATTAGTCTCTACTTAGAGAAGATGGCCATTTATGATGATTAGTCTGAGCCATGTTTCGTTTAGTGTAAAAGGTGCTAAAGGCATAATCTTCTGGAAAATGTTATGACATGAGGTTCATTGAAACAAGCATTACTTTGAATAGTTCCAGGCCATTTCAGTGGGCCTGGTGGCCCAAACATTCCTGGTCTGTTTTTCCTCAATATAACAAGAGAATATTGTTCACCAATAGGCAGCATCCTTTTTGAAGGGAAGTGCATATTTTTTAAATTCTATTTGATTATTATCTTTGAAGGAGCATTTCACAAACACATCACCAATCATCTTGTTAAAAGGTTATTGTTCAGAAGACATGAGAATAATCTGCCAAGGTTGGGGTTCTGTATGTCTATGAAAACTCTGTGTCCTAAGCCTTAAAATGTTATGTATCAGATAAACACTCATGATTTCTTGAAATTTACTACTGATACTCAGATCTCGGTGTATGAAGCTCTATTACATTTTTTCCTGTTAAAATACTAAAGTCAAAGGGACTTATGAGATGTGATGGGGCCTTGACACAATCCTTTGCACAAGCTGGGTGGCTATGAGGAGGAGGGCCTTTTTGGTTGTGGCATCTTGGATCTGGAATGAGCTCTGCAAAGAGGTACACCTGGCACCTACTTCCCATTCTGTTTGGCACTAGGTGGAGACCTTTTATTTTCCCATCAGTCTAACTTTTAAACTGTTTTATACATATTTTGTTTACATATTTTATTTTGTACCGCTGCTGTGCTTCTGCATAATAGCAATAGCTGCTACGGTTTTGCTCTTCTAAATTGATTTTTGTTCAGTGGCCTCTTTAATTTTTGTTTAGTTTTAACTTTTGTTTATCACACAGCGAGCCTGAGCTATTGGGTGGTATAAAATTAAATAAGTAAATAAGTAAATGCTATTAATAAGTAAATTAAATAAGTAAATAAGTAAATTCCTGAAACATAGGCACCACCTAGAGCAGACACGTGTATTTGTTGGGTGCTGTGTCTCCCCTTATTCATTGCAAACAACAGACAGCCTCTTTGCAAGGCAGCGCTTTATTTCCAATTCACAGCTAACAAACTAGAGCCACAAAAAGATGAAAAAACTCC